GATCAAGCTGCAAAATTTTACTTTTCTCAAGCATGTTATATAGTGGTTAGGTGGGAAGCTAGGTAAGGCGGGATATGGGGGGGGGGGAGGAGGTTGCTGCCTGGTAACTGGACCGCCTAGTGTTCTTCATTATAGGTCACTGAAGGTGAGCAGGATATGCAGATAAGCAAGTTGTTAGCAGGGGAAGAGGTCTTTGGAGTTGCTAAATAACTGCATAAGGGAGGGTTACCTAACTGCATTCCTGTAAGCCCTAAATTCTACTTCTCAGAAAGTTGGGGTGGGGGAGAAGGTAGATCGGGATTCAAGATAGCAAATCTTCTAACTCAATGCGCTATTCTAAGAAAAAGCTGGCAATCTCTAAGGCTTATGCCACGATTGCTCCTGGCACCCTACCTTTGAGAGGTTTCTGCACAACTCATGGGACTACTTTGGTGGATGACTTATCTTTTTTTTTTTTTTCATTAAGATGTTTATCTTGTTCAACTTGGATCTTGATTAACTTAGATGGTATCCACAGCTTTTCTTCTCCTGTAGATACAAAGGCAAAACCCCTACCCCAACATAACTCATATCCTGGTTTCCATATTGAGGTCAATACATTCTTGAAGTACACCGGCTGGTTTAGTTCAGAAGTTTTTTCTATTGTCCAGTGTCTTTCTGCAGCTGTTTTTCCTTTTTCATTAGCATTAAGAAAGTTAATAAAGCATTATGTAATCTGTGTTTGGGTGTCTTGGTTCCTCCTGCCTGTTTATGGAGCATTTCTTTTAAAGTATGATTAGATATCTTAACTACTGCTTGTCCTGTAGGGTTGTGTGGTATACCAGTTATGTGTTTTATGTTATAATACTCAAAAAGCTGTTTCAATTTGTTGGAGACATATGCCAGAGCATTGTCAGTTTTTATTTGTGCAGGTATGCCCATAATGGCCATTACCTCTAATAGGCGTGTGATAACAGAATCAGCCTTTTCAGAGTTCAGACAGTGGCCCATTGAAACCCTGAAAATGTATCTATAGTGTGATGCACATATTTTAATTTTCCAAGTTCTGCAAAATGAAACACATCCATTTGCCATATTTCATACCTTTAGGGATACTGCCTGGTGGTAAAGGAGTTTGGTTATAGAATGAGCAAGTAGGACATTTCCTTACTATTTTCTTAGCTTATTGCCAAGTGATAGAAAAATTCTTTTTTAAAACTTTGCTGTTCATGTGGTGTTTCTTATGAAACTCTGAGGCTTCTAGCACACTTCCTATTAATAACCGATCAATTTCATCATTGCCTTGTGCTAGAGGACCTGGCAGAACCATATGGGATCTGATGTATATTATATATATAGGATGAGTCCTCTTTCTGATAGTATCTTGTAATTGTATAAACAATGAAGTTAATTTTGTATCATCAGGAATAAATTCTGCAGTCTCAATGTGTAAGACAACTCTCTCTGCATATTGAGAGTCAGTAACTATATTGAGGGGTTGTGTAAAATCCATAAGTATCATGAGAATGGTGTACTTACAATTCTGCCTTTTATACAGAATTATAAAGGCTTTGAACTACTTTACTTATTTTTTTGAGAGCAGCCCTTTGTCTTAGAAGCAGCTAAGACACACACACACAGGCATATGCACACACATGCATGCACACAAGAGCAAGCATGACACCTTTAAAAGTTAGTGTGTTTTCAGAAACAAAAAGACCAGACACCAATGACAAGCAGTCCAGGTGATCCATCATCAGAATGTCTCTGTTGCAGTTTCCTCAAAACTCCTCAAAAATCTGGAACAACTTTAAAGCAACTGTCTGAGATGGTCCAGCCCTGGACTTTCCCATTGCACAGAGACTGGACAACGAACGATACAGCTAACTCTCCTAGGATTTGATCATTATCTCGATTTTCTCAGGGTTCCCTAGAGATGCTGTTGTTCCCAGACAACAGGAAGCAGTCTAAAGAACATGATACCCACATTCCCAAGAGTTGAGGTTGGTGGTTTTTCAGCATTCAAAGGATTATGGATGTTTATCATTGTTTAGGGGGGTTGGTTGCAAGTTGTTGGTCATGGTCAGGAAGAAAGCTGAGCAAAGATTAGATTCAGGTATCTCTGAAGGTAAAAAGGGCGGGGGGGGGGACATAGTACAGAAATAGTAGTAGAAAGGGTAGATTATTGAATCTACTTTTAACCTAATGAGAAATTACTAGTCTTAAATATTTTATATTGGTATGGATTTTTGTATATTGATATACATTTAAGGTTATTTTTATTATATTTTATATACATTTTTACTCTTGTTTAAGATATTTTTGTGTATTAATACAACTTCAAGAGTTTTTGTTATACCGTATATATGTTTCTTCTCTTGTTTAAAGTTCTGTACATATAGAGCTAAAATATAATGTATCATTATGAAATAAAGGTTCGTAGTTAGTCATCTGTAATAATCAAACTTATTCATGTTAGGTATGTTTACAAAGTTAAACAGAGATATATTTTAGATAGGTGGTCTTCAAACACTTCAAAGACTTACAGAATATGGCGTTTAAGGCTTTTCATGAAAGTGAGATACATCTGCTCCTGACAGCAACAACTTACTTCAAAAAGGATGATGGGCATCAAAGAAGCTCTATGTGGAGTCTGATTTATTGTGGCAAAGTGAGCCACTGGACAAGAAGCTGCTCTTGCCCTGACTGCTGACAGTATGCTGTCTCAACTGCACAAGCCAGACACAAAAGAAGGTAAGTGCTGGACTTTCCAAGATAAGGTAAGAGAGTCATCTAAAATTCCTTCTTCATATGATGGGAGATGCCATTATGTATATATGTTTCTCATACTGGTTAATGAATAAAGAACTGTTGGCCAATAGGAAAGGAGATAGGAGGGACTAGGAGAGAAGGAGGAAAGAGGAAGGAGGGAGGAGGAGCCAAGATGGAGAGTCGGGAGAAAGCAGTATGCCCCCGGCTCCCCGGTAAGAGAAATACATAGATCAGCAGAAATGGGTTAATAATTAAGGCAGAGCTAGCCGATAAGAAACAAGTAACTGGGCCAACAGCATTGTTTCAAATACAGAGTCTCTGTGCATTATTTGGGGCTGGCGCGGCGGCGGGACAAGGCCAGGCGGCAGGCGGAAAAACCCTACTCATTACATTCATAGGATAATCTGTCAGCTATTCAAGACCTGTAGGCTGACATGGATGCCCCAACGTTGCAGAGGAATCTTGGGTGACTGTTCAGACAGTCATTATTGTCATTTCTTAGTTTTGGAAGTTGCTTGCTCTTCACTTCCCGTTTACTCAGGTAAAATTTTGTTCTTTTCCAGTCTTTGAGGAGGTTAAAGACTAGATAGTTATTGTAAAGTAAGGTTTTTCCGCCAGCTACTGGTCTTGTCCTGCTGCCGCGCCAGCCCCAGATAATACACAGAGTCTCTGTATTACATATAATGTTGTTGGCCAGGTACCAGTTTCTTATTGGCTAGCTCTGTCTTGAGTATTAACCCATTTCTGTTAATCTACTTATTTTCACGTGCTTTCATCTTACCGGGGAATGGAGCCTGCGTCTGGTCTCCCCAGTCTCTCCATTCTGACTACTCCTTCTTCCTTCCTCTTTCCTCCTTGTCTCCTAGTCCCTCCTATCTTCCTTTCCTATTGGCTTTGTTCATTAACCAGTATGAGAAACATATTTCCAGAATGACATCTCCCATCAAGTTATAGTTACAGTTTTCCTTATTATCATATTCAGAAAAAACTTATATGAAAGATGAAAAGCTTATTAAATTAGGAAACATAAAAGCTTAAGTTGTTTATCTAAGAAGATATTTGTAGACTAAAATTTTGAGTCTAAATTATAGACTAAATTTTGAGGATGGCAATACAAGTTATGTTAGAAAATGGTTTCAGGGCTCATTCTCCCTGTAACCTTCAAAGGCACACCCACAATGACTTATTTTCTCCTTCTAGGAGCCCACCTTCCAAAGTTTCTATAACCTAGCCAAACAGCTTCAGTGTTTAGGGAAGAGAGATTCAAAATATGAGCCCATATTTGAACTCACCAAGATAGAACATATAATGGAGTAATTTTTACAAATTGGCCAAATACAAATGGATTGAATATTATAAATGTAATTCTTTTTAAAAAATATTTATTTATTATGTATAAAGTGTTCTGCCTGAATTATGCCTGCAGGCCAGAAGAAGGCACCAGATCTCATTAGAGATGGTTATGAGCCACCATGTGGTTATTGGGAATTGAACTCTGGACCTTTAAAAGAAAGAAAGCAGTGCTCTTAATGACTGAGCCATCTCTATAGGCCCTATAAATGTCATTATCTTAATGTATATCATCATTTTCTTAATGTATATAATTTTACTATGTTAGAGTTTAAAACCTTCCTTTTATTTATACAAAAGGGGGAAATGTTGTGGGATATTTGTACACTGTGTGAAGATGTATTGCTGTGATTGATGTAGTAAAGAGCTAAATGGACAATAGCTAGGCAGGAAAGGATAGGTGGGATTTCCAGGGATAAGGAGGAAGAGGAGGAGGAATGTGGGCACTCGCATTTCCCCATAGACTCTGAAGCTGTCAGACATGTGGTACAGAACAAAGATAACTGTTAGGAGCACTCTTTCCCATCAGCCTGGTTCTGCAGCCACCTTGCCCCAAATGAACACTCAGACACTTATATTCAATATATTCAATATAATACTGTTGGCTGATGACTAGGGCTTCTATTGGCTAGCTCTGTCTTAATTATTAACTCATAACTACTAATCTATATGTTTCCAAGTGGTCTTGGCTTACCAGAGAATGTTGGGACCTACAACTCCTTTGCCTGCTACATTGTGATTGTTCTGGCGGGCTCTCTTTTCTATCTTTTTCAGACTTTTTTCCTCTTCTAGTCCTGCCTATCTTACCGCCTTATTGGCCATTGGCCCAACAGTGTTTACTTCATCAACCAAAAATAGAAGCATATACAAAAGGACATCCCCCATCAGATAACCACGCCATGTGGCAGAAAGTAGAGTGAGAGAGACAGGTTGACTTAAGTTATAAGAGCTAGTGGGACAAGTCTAAGCTAATGGCCATGCTTTCATAATTAATAAAAAGTTTTGACGTTATTATTTGTGGACTGGCAGTTCTGACAAGAAAGTACAACTACATGTTTTACAATTCTTAAGGCAAAAGCTTTATCTCCTGCTTTACTTAAAGATATTCAATTAATCCTATAGCATACATGAGTGTGGCAAGATCCAGATGAGGAATTTAACTATTTTAATACATGTAAAGAAAACAGGGCTGGAGAGGAGTGTGGGACCCGGCACGGAGCGCAGCTGGGCTACTGCTGAACCACTGGGTGGCTTCGGGGACAGTCGCTGAGCTGCTATGTTTGATCTGTCTACTGGAGAATGACTAGGTGGTGAAAGAAAGGAGACGTTAGACATACCTAAGAAAATGGCTCCTTGCTTTGTGAACTTCTCCAGATTACAGCAGATCTCAGATATTCAAGCTGAAATCTACCAGAACAACCTAGAAATTGAACTTCTAAAACTAGAAAAGGATACAGCAGGTCCTATTCATCCTTCCTATTTAGTTGAGAAGTGTGACACTGTGCAAAGCATGAACAGTCATCTGGAAATGGTGCTGAAAGAGAGGCGGGCCATCAGGCAAAGACTGCTGAGGCCCATATGCCAGGAGAACTTGCCAATGGAAGCTATGTACCACAGATACAGGGTACATTTGTTGGAGATGGCTGTGACTTTCATCAAGAAGTTGGAAAACAATCTTGAAACAATTAGAAATGTCCCTCATTTAGATACAAACCTAAAGAAAATGAGCGAGGCACTAGCCCAGATGGATATTTTGGTGAACAAGACAGAAGAACTGTCAGAGGATACACTCAAGTGGAGAGAACAACAGAAGGAAATTTCCTTGTGTATCCCCAAAATACTAAGTGAAGAAAATTATCTTCACAAACTTGATATAGTGCCTCCTTTACCTTTTGTTTATAAAGTTCATGCCCAAACTGTTAATGCCAAGTGATAACCATCTTTCCTTCTGTTTAATTAGGTGTAGTCAAAGAAGTCTAATTTCAGGTGATTGTAACAAGGATATTGATAGACTTTGTTGTTAGAAACACTGGAAAACCCCTCTGAATTTTGGAGTACCAGGGCCAGAGAGATGTCTCAGTAGGGAAAAGCTCCTGCTTCAAGACTGACAATCCCTGGGCTCAATCCCTGGGATCCACATAGATTTTTTTTTTTCCCATATACTTTTCACTCTCTTTAGTAAAGCTAAAGAGGATCAAATATATGTATGATAGCTTATTATAAGTGAACTGAACATTCTTCAGACAGCAGATTCTGTATCTCTTTTAAACACATTTCTGAATTGGAGTGATGGGAGATGTTGTAGTGAGGTAGATGACAGAATCTCTTCCATGTCTGAGGATAATGGCAAGCTAGCAGATAGAACATTGTTTCTGGAAGGCAGTTTACACGCCATTCAGATAATATCTAAGGATGATAAGATTAAAAACATGGAATCATTTGTAGTTGGAGAAAGTAAGAAACTGACTGATACAATGAAGTCTCTAGAAAGTTATTTGATTCAAGAAGTTCAGACACTCAAAGAAACAATGGTGAATAGATTTCAGGCTTTAGAAGACCTTCAGTCTGATACATCAGAAGAAGAACTACAGGTAATAGGGCATGAAAAAGATTTAAAATTTTCCACACCATTTAGGGTCAGGGGAGCTTTCCCTGTATCTATTCATGAAAAGCCAGCAACGAAGAAACATCCAAAAGGTGTCGTTGCATATCAGTGGGAACCAATACGTATGAAAGATTTAAAAGGTATAAAGGAAGCAGTAGTCTCTTATGGCATGCATTCACCTTATGTGAAGCAATTAGTAGAATCATGGGCATGGAATAACAAGGTAACCCCTAAGGATTGGGATCAATTAATATCAGCTGTCCTTGAAAGCGCCTCTCAAATAGAATGGAGGGCTTTATGGAGAGAGGAAGCAAAAGCTCTTGAACTTCAGGGCTTAAAGAAAGGGTATAAAGCTCCCCAAGATAAAATTCTTGGTGAGGGTCTCTATGCTGACCCAGAAACCCAAGCTGCCTATGATGAACACATCTTGTCTCTATGCAGTACAGCAGCTTTGAATGCTTGGGATAAGGTTCATGAATTAGGAGAGAGGATAGAACCTTATACCAAGATAAAGCAAGGACCTAGAGAACGTTTTAGTATCTTTTTAGAAAGATTATCTAGGGCAGTACAATTAGAGATAGCAGACATAGATGCTAGGCGAATACTCATAGAATCTTTAGCTTATACGAATGCGAATCCTCAATGCAAACAGGTGCTTTGGCCTTTAAAAATGCGATCAGCACCCTTGGATGAATGGGTCCTATATACAGGCAACATTGAGTATAATGACAATAAGACTGAAGCATGGATAGGAGAAGCCATATCTAAAGGTCAGAGAAGATATCAAGATAACAGAGTTCCTTACTATGGTGACTTAGAAGCTTGGGTAGGAGAAGCCATCCCCAAAGGTTTGAAAAGATATCATAATGTCAGATGTTATAACTGTGGTAAGATAGGACATCTAAAAAGAAATTGTAGGCAAAGCTTCCCTAGAAGTAACACCCCCAGGAATGAATCAAACAGAAGGCCTCAGCCTCCTGGGTTATGTAGAAGGTGTGGCAAAGGCAGACACTGGACAAATGAGTGTAGATCGACCAGAGACAAGCAAGGAAACCCTTTACCATCGGGAAACTCCTTGGGGGGCCTCTCGAAGGCCCCCACGTCACAGGTGGTTCGAACATTCCCAGTCACAGTGGAAGACAATCTCCCACAGGACAATTAGAAAATTCTGTGCCTATTATAAAAACTCATACTGCTCTGGATGACGAACTAGTGACGGAAGTTGAATCAAACATGACAGAAGGAAATGAAAAACGTATATTTTGGCAAACTGCTATAAATAGTCATAGGCCTAGATTGATAGTTAAGATGAATAATAGACTGTTTGAGGGTCTGGTGGACACAGGAGCTGATGTAACTATCATATCTAATAAATCTTGGCCTCAAAGATGGCCCCTGCATGAGGTAAATGTTCAATTCTTAGGGATTGGAACCCTGGCTCAGGTAAAACAAAGCACGAGATGGATTGACTGTATAGGACCAGAAGGACAGAGAGGGAGGTTGAGACCATATGTGGCTGATGTAGTGATAAATTTATGGGGTCGTGATCTATTACAGCAATGGAATACACAGGTTAACATTCCTCCTGTATTAGATAGGAACCATAGACGACCTCATGATTGTGGAAAGAATACTGTTAAGTACTATACAAGACAGAGACCAAATATCCAGGCAGTACAAAAACAAAATACAAATGCTGAACAAACAGAGGAACCAAAAGCCCTACCTTTAAAATGGCTAACAGAGGAACCTGTCTGGGTAGGACAATGGCCTATGACCTCTGAGAAGTTAGAAGCTTTAGAAAGCCTGGTTCAGGAACAGCTAAATGCTGGACATATTGAGGAATCAACCAGCCCTTGGAATTCTCCTGTATTTGTGATCAAAAAGAAATCTGGTAAATGGAGAATGCTTACAGACCTGAGAGCCATCAATAAAGTTATCCAGCCAATGGGCTCTCTACAGCCTGGAATGCCCTTGCCTTCTTTGATACCCAAAGAATGGCCTATTATAGTTATTGATTTAAAGGATTGCTTCTTCACTATACCTTTACAAGAACAAGACAAAGAGAAATTTGCCTTCACGGTACCTAATTATAACAATTCTCAACCGGTGAAGAGATATCAATGGAAGGTTTTGCCACAGGGAATGCTAAATAGCCCCACCCTGTGCCAATATTTCGTACAAAAACCGTTAGAAATAATTCGTAAACAGTTTCCACAATCCATAATCTATCATTACATGGATGATATATTGTTAGCTGACTCTAAAGGAGAAATATTAGAAAAAATGTTTGAGAAAGTAAAGGAAGTTTTACCTCGCTGGGGATTACAAATTGCACCTGAAAAAATACAAAAAGGAGAGTCTATCAACTACTTAGGATATAAAATAGGTCTACAGAAAATTAGACCACAAAAAGTACAGATCAGAAGAGATCGCTACCAGACTCTTAATGATCTTCAAAAATTACTAGGAGAGATTTCTCAATTGCAAACCATAATTGGAGTAGAAGGGCATGATTTGAAAAACTTGAAAATGGCCCTAAAAGGAGATAAGGACTTGAATAGTCCACGAATACTATCAGCTGAAGCTGAGAAGGAATTAGAATGGGTAGAAAAGAGGATACTAGAAGCACATGTGGACCGTGTGGATCCAAACCTAGACTGTATTCTGGTTATATTACCATCTAGAGAATATCCTTCAGGGATTTTGATGCAGAGAGAAGATATCATATTAGAATGGATATTCCTACCACATAAACAGAATAAAAAACTGAAAACATATATAGAAAAGATCTCTGACTTGATTATAAAAGGTAAATTAAGACTTCGTCAGCTAATAGGAAGGGACCCAGCAGAAATTATAGTACCTTTAACTAATGAGGAAATTTCTTCCTTATGGAAAGATAACGAATATTGGCAGAGAGCTTGCAGTAACTTTTTGGGAACAATTAGCAACAACTATCCCAAAACTGAGAGAATCAAATTCATAAAGAAAACGATTTGGATTCTTCCACGCATTGTAAGAAAAACACCTATTTCTGGAGTTCATACATTCTACACTGATGCAAATAAATCAGGTAAGGCAGGATATAAATCAGGAAATATTAGCAAAGTGGTTCAAAGCCCTTACAATTCTGTACAAAAGGCAGAATTGTATGCCATTCTCATGGTACTTATGGATTTTAAAGAACCCCTCAACATAGTTACTGACTCTCAATACGCAGAGAGAGTAGTTTTACACATTGAGACTGCAGAATTTATTCCTGACAATACAGAATTAACTTCATTGTTTATACAGTTACAAGATACTATCAGAAAGAGGACTCATCCTATATATATAACACACATCAGATCCCATACGGGTCTGCCAGGTCCTCTAGCACAAGGCAATGATGAAATTGATCGTTTATTGATAGGAAGTGTGCTAGAAGCCTCAGAGTTTCATAAGAAACACCACGTGAACAGTAAAGGTTTAAAAAAGGATTTTTCTATCACTTGGGAACAAGCCAAGGAAATAGTAAGGAAATGTCCTACTTGCTCATTCTATAACCAAACTCCTTTACCACCAGGCAGTAACCCTAAAGGTATAAATAGGAATGAAATATGGCAAATGGATGTGTTTCATTTTGCAGAATTTGGAAAATTAAAATATGTACATCACACTATAGATACATTTTCAGGGTTTCAGTGGGCTACTGCTCTGAGCTCTGAAAAGGCTGATTCTGTTATAACGCACCTTTTAGAGGTAATGGCCATTATGGGCATACCTGCACAAATAAAAACTGACAATGCTCCAGCATATGTCTCCAGCAAATTGAAAGAGTTTTTTGAGTATTACAAGATAAAGCACATAACTGGTATACCACACAATCCTACAGGACAAGCAGTGGTTGAGAGATCCAATCGTACTTTAAAAGAAATGCTCCATAAACAGGCAGGAGGAACCAAAACACCCAAACACAGATTACATAATGCTTTATTAACATTAAACTTTCTTAATGCTGATGAAAAAGGAAAAACAGCTGCAGAAAGACATTGGACGATAGAAAAAACTTCTGAACTAAATCAGCCAGTGTATTTCAAGGATGTACTGACCTCAGAATGGAAAGCAGGATATGTGTTACGTTGGGGTAGGGGTTTTGCATTTGTATCTACAGGAGAAGAAAAACTATGGATACCATCTAAGTTAATCAAGATCCGAGTTGAACAAGAGAAGCATCTTAATGAAGAGAAATGACAAGTCATCCAACAAACTAGGTCCTATGAGGTGTGCGGAGGCCTCTCAAAGGTAGGGGAAGTGTTCTGTTCTTGTTTTTACAGGAAAACAGAGAAAACCTATCATCAAACAGCCAAAAGACACTGAACATGTAGGTGCCTACAGAAGAGAAGACAGCTCTTCAGAAACAATCACTTAAGGAAGCAGAATCTGATATATGGTAAAAAAAAAAAAAAAAAAAAAAAATATTTAATTGTAGTAAACTATTTCTATATAGAAATCTATTTCTCTCTATTATCTAGTATTCCTGAAGTCCCAAATTTTGTAAACCAATGCTGGCTTTGGAGTTGGATTTGGCTTTCCTTCTCTAAATTCAAGCATGTTGTTAAGATTAAATTCATGGTTTCTGCCTTAAATCAAGAAGCCAATTGGTGTAAGGCAGAAGAAACAAAATCTGGGGACTCATATCTTATGCAATTTTCTCTCTGAAATCCTAATTTTCTCACATACTTTTAATGCTTATTGTTGTCTTTCCCTAATGCATACCTTAAAACTTGAAAATTTTACTTTAATATTGATGTGTAACTTTTCCACAAGGAATAATAACGATTCTTAACAGCAGTCTTTGAACTTTCCGGAAAGAAGATGGGGCCCCACATCATCATTTCCACTTGACTCAACCTGATGCATCGGAACTACAAACATCACCCTAAAACCGGTTTGAGACTGTTTTGCTCGAGACAACTCATGACTAGCTAGCTGTAATGGTGCACCTTTTTATTACACCCTGGCCAGTTTCAAATAGAACTATAGTCAAGAATTTTCTGCCACACAGTGCCTAACTACATATGTCACAGCCAGTTCTATTGAGAAATTTGGTTGCTAAAAATTTTCTTCCTACAGGATCCATTGGAGCAATCATCGTCCCATTTCAGCAGGAAGTAATCTTTATATGACTACGCCCCCTTTCCCTACCCTTGGAATTTTGGGATAATAGTCATCGTCTTTGGGTTGGTTTTAGTTATTTGGGATTGGGTGATGCTTACACTCGGGTTTATCTTTTAGACAGGAATAGGGAATGGTGGGTAAAGGTATGGTTTAGAGGGGATATAAGTAGATTAGCCTGTTTCCTTGAGAATTTGAGTATGAATGAGATAGTATTTTACAGCTTACATTGTTATGTATTCCTATGTGGTAAGCTATGTAAAATTAAGTTTATATTTTGTTATATTGTGTTAAATGTTTCCACTTACAATATTTACGCACATTATTTTTTACCATATTCTATGTATGTATACTTTTCCTGTATTCAAGACATTTTGTATATTGATACAATTTGGGATATTTATCTTGCTGCCCTTTATAGTTCTACCTCTTGTCTTGGCACTTATACTCTACCTCTATTTTAGGGATTTACATGTAGGTACATGTAAATAGTTATATTGTTTAAGTATTTGTTCCTGCTTTACTCAGGAAAGTTTTAATCAGTCTTTTTAGCTAAGTTCCCGAGTATTACAGATTATCTTCACTCACATTTCCTGTACCTATGAGATTAGTCAGATATAGATGCTTAATCTTCAATCCTTCATAGACATGCAGAACATGGCATTTAAATGTTTTAATATTAGTACTCCATTGACATGAGACACTGTTGCTCCTGACAGCACCGTGCATTTTCCCAAAAATATGTTGGACACTGTTGTTGCTCCTGCTGGAGTTCAATCTCGCCTCAGCTAATGGCCTGTTGGGCATAGAATTGCCCCCACCTTGACCACTGATTTGGACATGCAGTCCTATGTGCTTGCAGGAGACAAATATAGAAGACTGCTTGACCTTGCCAAGTCAGGGTAAGACAGCCATTCTATTTCCCTGCTGTTGTTGTGGTCTGTCAAGTTCTCTTGGCCTTAGCCAAATCTGGGTGTACCAACATCGCTGTGAGACCTAGGGTGACTGTTCAGGTGGCTTGCTGTTTCTGTCCTTGCTGCACCGTTTTGGAAGTTGTCCATCCGCATTTCCTGTCTACTCTAGTATTGTTATTTTCCTTCTCAGGTCTTGATGAGGTTGAAGATTAAACTATCACAACTATTATTCTCTCTTCCTAGTTAGATATATTAGGTACTAGACTTACGTTTTCCAGCTTAGGACAACTCTATTGTAAACTCCATTATGCCCTCACCCTAGGACTAGATATGTAGGTCATTTTGTTCTCGATTTTCCTTTTCTTAGAGCACACTTGTTATTCACTGTTTTGTATATAGTTTTGTATTAAGCCTAAATCTTTTCTTTAGACTAAAAGGGGAATTGTAGTGAGGTAGTCCTTCTGTAGCACTGACCACGCCCATTGGGGGGTGGAGCTATGGGCGGAGGTGACCTGAGGAGGAGGTCGGAGGGGGCCAGGAAGGCGCTCTCTTTCTGGCGTGACTCGGACAGGAGAGGATCGGGTTGAATTTCCTGGTGTTCATCTGTCTAGGTTGTAAGTTATTTCTCCCTGAATAAACATCTATTCGGCTTATTTGTTTATCCTGATCCTTATTTACCGCAATAAGATGTCATTCTGTAAATATGTTTCTCTTATTGGTTAATGAATAAAGCACTGTTGGCCAAAAATAGGCAGGACTAGGAGACGAGGATGCAGGAGGTAGTAGGGAAGAGATTCAGCATGTAGGATGGGGAGAACAGAACGCCAGCCCCTCCGGTAAGATGAGACCACATGGAAATACTTAGGTTAATAGAAATGGGTTAATATTTAAGACAGTGCTAGCCGATAAGAAACTACTAACTGGCCAACAACATTATTTCTTAAAAAAAAAAAAAAAAAAGAAAGAAAGAAAAGAAAAGAAAAGAAAAAGAAAGAAAACAGGGCTGTTATTCAAGAAACTTCCTTATTCTGCCTGTTTTGGACCCAGTACCAGCTCCATTTTAACTCAGTGTATAGGTTTGGTACATGTGGATATTTATTTTAGCTTAAGAATTTCCCTGGTTGTAAAAGATTTCTCAGCATGCCTTATGGGACTATCTTTGTTATATAATAATTTAGCCACCATTTATCATAGGAGAATGAGATTTGTAAAACCTGCCCAGCAACTTAGAGATAATTTTCTCTTTACAAGTGTCATATACAGTAGACTCACTGCTCTTTAAAAAAAAAGATTTTTATTTATTATGTATATACAGTGTCTGTCTGTATATATGTCTGCGCGACAGGAGAGGATGCCAGATCTCATTGCAGATGGTTGTGAGCCACCATATGGTTGTTGGGAATTGAAATCAGGACCTCTGGAAGAGCAGCAGGTGCTCTTTTTAACCATAGGAGATACTTTTAGGGAACAGTTATGGTCTCAGGCCAACTGTCACCTTGGTCAACTTGCAAACATTGTTTTTGGAGACTATGAAGCCATCCTTGTGTTACTGCTGACTCCTCAGCTCTAGACATACCTTCTTTTTCTGTGCATGATGACAGTAAGTCTTTCTATCTATAACAAAAGCAGTTCTGTCAATTTAAATGTGACTTATGAACATAGTAAATATTTTTAAAACAACAAAAAATATTTTACAAACTTCCTTACTTCGAGAGGGAAGAACCAGGGCACAATCAAATCAAAGTAAAATTAAAACTCCAAATGTAATTTACTTAGTGTGCAAGATCTGTGACTCACGATCTGGGCTCCAGAGGGTCTGGCTGGGCAGCTCCTCTTATCTAGCTCTGCCATCCACAGCGCATGCAACTTCCAGAAAACTTAAAATGATTGTTTTAAATTTACATAGCGGCCTCTCATGGGGCTGTCCACTGTCCTCTGTTGGGGCTTCGGGTGTGGTAAGCCTACTTACCTTCCAGGGGAGACATCATAATCTGGAAGATGTTTTTCCCAGGATGAGGTTCACCCATTGTACTCAGGTTGTTCTGACCCCTATGATTGCCACAAATTTGAGAAACTCAACTGTGAAAACTGTATAATTTCTGTAGTGAGATATTCACTCTGTCTGAACCTGTGGGGGTGGGGACAGGGGTGGACATGACCTGGGGGAACTAGGTCTGAGGAAGCCCCCCCCCCCACACACACACACGCAGAGTGCTCTCTTGCTTGCTGGACTGAGACAGAGGGCATCCGGAGGCATCCTTGGGACCAGGAGCCTTCTGGCATTTATCTGTCTCTGTTGTAAGTTATTTCTCCCTGAATAAACATCTATTCAGCCTGTTTTTCCTGATCCTTATTAATCCACGATAAATTTCTGATAGTGGCAGACTGTGTTCATACTTTCCCCTGATATATGTGGTTGTTAAGAACAGACTTTAAAACTTGCATTTCCTTTCCTTTGAAAACATCAAGGTTTTGTGTGTGTGTGTGTGTGTGTGTGTGTGTGTGTGTTGTAGCTTACTTAGTGGCTGATGGGGATGTTCTTTTGTATATATGTTTCTCTTAATGGTTGACGAATAAAGCACTGATTTGCCAAGCAGAAAGCTAGGCAGGGCTACCAGACTAGGATTCGAGAAGAATTCTGGGAAATGTAGGCAGACAGAGTCACCATGTGAGCCAGGGAAGAGAGGACACACCAGGGATTGTCTGGTAAGCCAAGACCATGTGGAAATATATAGATTAATATAAATGGGTTAATAATTAAGACAGAGATAGCCAATAAGAAGCCCTAGTCACCGGCCAACAGGTTTATTTGGAGCTCAAGGGCTTTGGGACATGGCCGGGCCAGACACATACCTTCAACAAGTGGCTGTTTGTAACAGATAAAATGTGTGCATATTCATATTTTAATTTTCTTTAGTTCTGTCTATTGGTTTATTTACACAACCTGGACCAGTGAAAAAATGGTTAGGAGAAAAAAAAAGTGGTGAGTGTATAGTGATAAATTCTCACAGAAATTACTTTCCATAACTAATTAACAAACAGCAACAAGAACTGAACTCAGAAACATGCAATGTTTGTTGTTTTTGTTTCTTCAGTGCTCGGTACTGAACACTTGAACTTATTTAAGATCTTTCAAAAACCTGATATACTGTTTTTTTCCCCTCTGTTATCTGAGTAGTGGTCTATTTGTCAAGTCTTTAGTTCTTAGAAATGGCAGGTTAATCAGTTGTAAAGGAAGAAGATCTGTTAAGATTTTTAAGTCTGGAGTGTTTGTTTCTAAAAAACCAGAGAGAGTACTTCGAGGCATGTAGTTCAGAGTTTGGCTTGAATTTCTTCATTGGCTTCTGACCTTTTCAACAGGCACCAAACCTGAGTCTAGTCCCCAGTGTTAACACTTCTCAATGACGTTTTGAAATGCAATAGTTGAGTCACTGGCAAAGGAAAGAACAGGGAAAAAGTTGCTAGGAAACAATTCCTCCCTTATTTTTTGTTTTCTTTCTAGACATATGCTGTTAACTTTTTTTTCTTTAAAATCTAACCAGCATCCTCTTAGATCTGTAGTCTGGCTCTGGGAACCATCTCCTTTGTATACTTTTTAATTTTTGTTTTGTAAGGGAAATTGCTTAGGTGGCCGCTGTAGGTTTCCTGTCCTGAGGACACTCCCTTGCCTTTCTAGTACTGTGTCACTTTGTGGGCTGGTGCTTGCCCAGTTCTTCCAGAAAGTTTGGTGAGTTTTGGGAAAGTTCAGCATGCTTGCATACATGCTATCCAGTCAGAAATCAGTTACATTTCTGTAAAAGATGCTATCATTTGTGTGCCTGTGTAAGCAGGATAACTACAGCGGTTCTGAATCTATATCTATCTATCTATCTATATATATATATTTTTTTTCCTTTATCTTTCTTTTTTCCTTTCTTTCTTTCTTTTTTTTCTTTTTCTTTTTCTTTCTTTCTTTCTTTTTTTTTTTTCTTTGATACTGGCTACCTTGGTGTAGCCTTTTCTGGCACTTGCTCTGTAGACCAGGCTGGCTTCAAACTCACAGAGATCTACTTGCTTCTGCCTCCCAAGTGCTAGGATTAAAGTCGTAAGCCACCACTGCCTGGCATATTCTTAGGAGCCAGGATGGCTAAATTCATATTCACTGTTTCATATCCAGTTTCATAAGCTGAATGACCTTGAGCCAAATGTTGCTTCAAGTCTCTGTCCCCTTTCCTTTATTTGCCCTCCCCAGGAACCCTGGGGTTCACAAGTCTCTGTAGGTGGACTTTTCCACTCTGCCAGCCAGTTCCCAAATAACCACACAGAAACTTATTGTTAATGATAAATGCTCAGCCAATAGCTCAGGCTTATCTCCAGCCAGCTCTTACAGCTTAAATTAACCCATTTCTATTAGTCTATGTGCTTCCCCGAGGCTCATTTACCTCATCTATGAACTTCCCATGTTGCTTTGAGTCTGGTTTGAGACCCCCTCAGACTCTGCCCTTCTTCCCAGCATTTTCTCTGACTCAAACATCCTGCCCAGTCAGCCAAACAGCTTTTTATTAACAATGAGAACAACACATTTTCACAATGTACAGAAGGATTATGTCACAGCATTCCCCCCGTTTTGTCTAAATAAAAAGGAAGGCTTTAACTTTAACATAGCAAAATTGTATACAACAGAAATAATTATCAAGTAAGAATTACACTGACAATGTCCAGTCCATTTGTATTTGGCAAATTTAGAGAAAATACTCTATTATATGTCTTGTCTTTGTGAGTTTAAAGTTTTATATCTAATTTACCTTTTATCATAACTAAAGAAAACTTTAATTATTTAGTCTTCAACTCCCTCAAAGATCCCAGAAGGGTGTAATGCTACCTAATGCCATCACACAAAGTTTTTCTGAAATATTGGGCCACTCAACTCTGGCCCACAGGCCTAATAAATCTGACAGACATTTTTGAGAAGCAGGGAGTTTTGAAGGAGTGTCCTTTCTTGTCTTGGCAAAGGTTACCAGTCACTTTTTTTTTCTGTCATGCTTGTCTAGTTTGGACAATATACTCGGCAATTGAGGCAAGGACAGTTTCCTTGCCCAAATGGCTAGCGTTTGCCATAAAGAATGTAAACTCCACATGGAGCTTCTTTGATGCTCATTATCTTCTTTTGAAGTGAATGTACACTGTCAAGAGCAGACATGTCTCCTTGTCAAGACAAGCCTCATGTTATTAAAATATTTTAAGTTCCATATACTGTAGGTCTTTGAGGTATTTGAAGACTATCTATCTATCCAAATACATCGGTTTAACATTGACAACATACTTAATATGACTACAGCTTCATTATTACAAATGACTATATCTGTATTTATTACTAACACTTTACATTTTAAAATGAACTGTGTAAGCACAATACTGAAAACAAAAGTAAAACAAGCCAGGTGTGGCTAGTGCACACACTGATCTCTGTGAGTACAAAGCCAGCTCGATCTACACAGTGAATTCCAGGACAAGTAAACTGTTACACAGAGAAACACTGTCTCAAAAAAACAAAAAAATTGTAGAAACATATATACTGTATAACAAATTAACCTTAAAATGTATCAATAAATTAATAACCATGCCAATGCAAAATATTTTGAAATTAATGGTAGTTTTGTGATTAAAGAAAATTCAATAATCAACCCTTTTATCTCATCATTTCTATATCATATCCTCTTTTTTCCTTTAGAAAGAGAGGTTTAAATTTAATTATTTTGGTTAGTATTCTTTTTCTGACTATGACGAATAACAACTTGTAACCAAACCCCTAAAGACTGACATCCATAAACCATTAAATACCCAAACCAAAGCAATGCTCTGTATCTTTAGAATGTGGAGGTTGTTTTCTTCACTACTGATGAGGTAATGTCCTTGTATATATAGGTTTCTCTTATTGGCTTATGAATAAAACACTGTTGGCTAAAGGCAGGGCTAGAAGAAGAGAATTGTGGGAATGGTAGGCAGAAACTGTGGCAGACTCCATGCAGGGGAGGAAGGAGTAAGAGGACTGGACCCTTCTCCTGTAAGACAAGACACATGGAAATACTTAGACAATAGAAATGGGTTAATAATTAAGAGAGAGCTAGCCAGGAAGAAGCCCTAGCCATTGGCCAACAGCTCTATAATTAATGTAAGTCTTTGTGTGCATATTTGGGGCTGAGAAGGGAGGCAGGGACCAAGCTGGAAAAAGAAACCTCCAGCAACAGAGATCCTGTTTCTGTCTGAAATACCTCTCGAGTCCTGGGAGTAAAGGCCTGAGCTCTGATTCACTCTCAGTTAGCCCAGGGTGGTCTTGGACTCAGAGATCCATCTTCCTCTCTCCTCAGTCCTGGGATTAAGGGTGTGTGCCATGCTTCTATGGCCTGTGGCTGACTCTGCTTTCTGAATCCCCAGGCAAGCTTTAAGGAATCATAAATTGTCTCACCACAAACAGGGTTCTCCTCCATCAGAGACTTATCCCTCTGGGGCACTGACATCTGAATTATCAGTTGTCATCTGCTGTACTTATTTGTATCACAGCCTACGACAGCTCGTGACACATGCCACCAACCCCTTACTGGCTCACAAGCCCTTATACAAAGTTTAAACAAATCTATTTAAAAAGTGTGTGGGGGGGGGGGGAGGGAGAGGAGGAAACGTGTTCTTTAATTAACCAGAAACTTTATGTGTTTTTAAAAACATATCGAATATCCTTTTTCCTGGCTAGCCTGGAGCTCACCAAGTAGACCAGGCTGGTCTCAGACACACGCAAATCCACCTGTCTCTTCTTCCCAAATACTGAAGTTAAATAACTTTCCCACCTGATGGAAAAAGTATTTTACCAAATTTTAGATTGAAGAATAAAGAGAAAGTCGCATTAGGGACAAAATCACATAACAATATAGTTGTTTTGTCTTGTTTATAGGAGGACTTACTTGTCTTGCCTCTTGAGACAGGTCTCGCTTTGTAACCCTGGCTATCCTGGAACTCACTTTTTATAGAGCAGGCTAGCCTCACACTCACACAGATCCACTTGTCCCTGCTTCTGAGTGCTGGGATTAAAGGCGGGCACCACCACGCTGGCTGTGGTGATTTTTATTTTACGGGAGCAGGCGTTTTGCCTGAATG